ACATGTCTAAAGTTACTGTCAAATAAATGTAGGAAGTTTCAAGGTTGGTTATACATGTCTAAAGTTACTGTCAAGTATAGTTAGGAAGTTTCAAGGTTGGTTATACATGTCTCATGTTACTGTCAAATAAATGTAGGAAGTTTCAAGGTTGGTTATACATGTCTAAAGTTACTGTCAAATATAGGTAGGAAGTTTCAAGGTTGGTTATACATGTCTAAAGTTACTGTCAAGTATAGTTAGGAAGTTTCAAGGTTGGTTATACATGTCTAAAGTTACTGTCAAATAAAGTTAGGAAGTTTCAAGGTTGGTTATACGTGTCTAAAGATACTGTCAAGTATAGTTAGGAAGTTTCAACGTTGGTTATACGTGTCTAAAGTTACTGTCAAGTATAGTTAGGAAGTTTCAACGTTGGTTATACATATCTAAAGTTACTGTCAAATAAAGTTAGGGTTCTTTCTTTATAATTGACGCTTGGAGGGGAAAGAAGATGTCACAATCATGATGTCACAGCTAGGAGTCCATGGATAACTACTCTCACCTCTCCTCCATTACCACCAACCTTGAAACTTCCTAACTATACTTGACAGTAACTTTAGACATGTATAACCAACCTTGAAACTTCCTAACTATACTTGACAGTAACTTTAGACATGTATAACCAACCTTGAAACTTCCTAACTATACTTGACAGTAACTTTAGACATGTATAACCAACCTTGAAACTTCCTAACTATACTTGACAGTAACTTTAGACACGTATAACCAACGTTGAAACTTCCTAACTATACTTGACAGTATCTTTAGACACGTATAACCAACCTCGAAACTTTGTGTGTATATATATATGTATACACCACAAAAATAAGTAGATGAAATATATGATATTATGAGTTGAGTAACAATAAAATAGTTCAGGAAAAAGAATTGAGGAGATACCTAAAATTGGACAATTTTTATGTACAGTTTCTTATCTTGTTCCTGAAAATCTTATCGTATCTACATCCTGTTTTTTAGAGGAAGATATACAAGTTAATTTTAAATGATTCAACATTAGATGCTGTTCTATCAACATTAAGTTTTTTTTTTCCTCTGGCAACTAGCTCACTCTACAAAGGTGAGAAAATCCCTACTCTGGAAGAAGGTGTTCATGAATGTTTAAAGCTCAAGCTAAGAATGATCTTGGACATCAAAGAATTTGACAACAAAGTAAGTTTTGGATGAAAGTAAAATAATTTTTGTGTAAATTGAAAAAGTAAAAAAATTTACCTCCATTCATATTTTAAATAAACAATTTAGGATTTAATTTATATCTGTCCTTTGTTTTACATAAAACTGCAAAGAATTATATGAACAAAGCAGAATTAGATAAATTGTTACTGATGGTTCTTAGTTATTTAGTAACCTCAGTGATATGTTTATGTTGAATAAGAAATAAACATTTTATAATCATAATTAATTCAAAGGCTGATATTTATTATTATTTTAAAATTAATGTTGAGCTAAATAACCTGGTTACATTGGTTTATTGAAACTTCAGAATGATTATAGTCTTGTTGAGCTTAATAACCTGGTTACATTGTTTTATTTGAAACTTCAGAACGATTATAGTCTTGTAGAGCTTAATAACCTGGTTACATTGTTTTATTTGAAACTTTAGAACAAAACAATGTAACCATGTAATATTAATCACTAAACAAAACTACAGTATAAAACAATGTAACCATGTAATATTAATCACTAAACAAAACTACAGATAAAACAATGTAACCATGTAATATTAATCTCAACAAAACTACAGATAAAACAATGTAACCAGGTTATTAAGCTCAACAAGACTATAATCGTTCTGAAGTTTCAGATAAAACAATGTAACCAGGTTATTAAGCTCAACAAGACTATAATCGTTCTAAAGTTTCAAATAAAACAATGTAACCAGGTTATTAAGCTCTACAAGACTATAATCCACAACGACTGTAGTTTTGTTTAGTATCATAATAATACTAACAATAACGAAAGCCTATCATGAACAGTAGTAGTGTTGGATAATGATCATTAGTTGATATCATAATAATACTAACAATAACGAAAGCTTATCATGAACAGTAGTAGTGTTGGATAATGATCATTAGTTGATATCACAATAATACTAACAGTCATGAAAGCTTATCATGAACAGTAGTAGTGTTGGACAATGATCATTAGTTGATATCATAATAATATTAACAATAACGAAAGCTTATCATGAACAGTAGTAGTGTTGGACAATGATCATTAGTTGATATCACAATAATACTAACAGTAATGAAAGCCTATCATGAACAGTAGTAGTGTTGGACAATGATCATTAGTTGATATCATGAACAGTAGTAGTTTTGGACAATGATGATTAGTTGATATCATAATAATACTAACAATAACGAAAGCCTATCATGAACAGTAGTAGTGTTGGATAATGATCATTAGTTGATATCATAATAATACTAACAATAATGGAAGCCTATCATGAACAGTAGTAGTGTTGGACAATGATCAGTAGTTGATATCATAATAATACTAACAATAACGAAAGCCTATCATGAACATTAGTAATGTTGGATAATGATCAGTTGATGATAATAAAAATGTTAACACTTTTGTTACTGAAAACTTGTTATGGGCCAATAAAGAAGGATCAGTCATATTATTATGTAATATATTGAAGGATACGAAGCAAGTCTTAATATTTTGTTTCCAGGCGCTGACAGCAGTGTTGGAGATATTTGAAAAATATCAAGAGCTGTACAAAGTGGCCATAGTATCATCCTTCCACCCGCTCTTTATATATCAGGTGAGAAAAGTCCTGTGTGTTGAACACTACATGTTTTTAGAAAATAGATAACTAACAACACTTAAGTATGATGACACATATAATGTATCCTATCACAAACTGCTGTTTTTCTTTCCCTGTTTGGTTCTTTGAATGATATCAATTTGGTATTGTTAAAATATGTACAGTTGAGGAAAGCCAATCCAAACATAATATGTGGACTGATGTGGCGGCCAAAGTTTGTGTCCTCCGATGACCTTGTGAATGGACGTCCACGGTTTAGAGGTCCTTGGAAGATGACTCTAGGAAAGATTGGTGACCGTTTGCTAGACTGGTCTTTTCACAGCTGGCTGTGGTATGTTACTGGTGTGTCTGTAGTTCTCATCCACAAAGATGCAATTTCTCAGTAAGTATGCTAACTGAGATGTAAGCAGTGTTTTTAACCTTTTTTTTTAAACAGTTTTGACACAACGTTCTTATTAAGAGGAAGAATATTGCAAACTATTGATATCTTAAAATAGAATTTTGTATCCATTCAAAAACTGGGATAATATTTTTAATCTAGATTAAAAGTACAGAAACTAAAGTGAATTCCATAGAATTGCTTTATGACCAGGGCCATTTAGGTAGGCCTAACCACAAGTTTTTTTTCCTTAGTGAATCCACCTAATTAAACAGAATTTTAGATGTTGCTGCTCATCATAATATTGGATGAAATGCTAAGTCCCTGGTGTTATTTTCTATAAATATACATGATTGCCAAGCATAATATTTTTGATAATATATACATATGCTTCTGTGTACTTAAGAAATTTAAATAAGTTTATAATGAGCCATGTGTATTCTCTGGACAGATTTTTTTTTTAAGGAATTTTTTGGTGCAGAACTCTGCAGTAGTCTATTTGCACTATGTCCACTGCAGTGAATCAAATCCTGAATTTCAGCATTGCAAGTGTGTAATGTCATAGAGTGAGCCATGTAATTAATGCTACTTTCATGTTAATTTACTGGCAATATTTATTTATCCTACGTAGACTTTTCAATTCTAATTGATTAATATAACTAAAGTCAGTCATCCTGAAGATTTCTTTTTGACTGGCAGGGAATATTTGAGAATGTGGAGTACTCGAGGAGTTCGGGTTATCCCTTGGACAATCAACCATCCAGTTGAAAAACAACACTTCTCCAGTATCCTGAATCTCCCAATCATGACGGATTCCTTACTGATCAAGTTTGAAACTATGGTGAAGCTTTGATCGACAGCCTCATCAAGAATGTAACAATTGTGTAGATATAAAATAATCTTCACACGATGAAGAGATGGGTTTTTATACTTTTTAAAGTGCTTTATTGTTGCTTCAGACATTCCAGTATGATATTATCACATTAATGGAATATTTTGATGAACTGTGTATGTTTTTATCTCTAAAATTCCAAATCTTTTATTTAATGTTCTGAAACATGTTTAACTTTTTTCAACCTCATTAGATATTAATCTTTAATATATTTTTACCAGTTGTGATATTTTAGTAATACTTACATAAAATCTTGATAAATAGTAAATGAAAGATTTAGACATGAAAAGAAAAAACGTAAATTATTGTAAATTTTAGGCCTACTATCCACATATTTCAAATTTAAAACATTCTCTGAAAGGTATTCCATAATTATCATATTATTCCAGTTAGTAAATGTCTTAAGTTTAAGTGTATCTAGTCAGTTCAAGTAGTACGAACTAGAAAATTGTGTGGTAATACCAAACTTACAGTAAATGTAATTCTGACTAGTTTTAGTTTACTTGGCTTCTCATAAGCCACCGGTGTCTATAATATATATTTCTGTGTTTATGTATAAATACTTTTGTAATGCTATATCTAAATCAATTTTGGTAATAAACTGTATGTATATAGATGAAGTCTTATTGCATATGAAACTTTTGTTTATGTTTTCCTCCCTTTTATTATCAAAAAAAAGGGAAATTGTTAGACGATTTAAGAAAATATAATTTGCTACTTTTATATTCCACAGTTTTTGTGACAGTTTGTAGAAAGTATTATTTATGCCTAATCTGTACTGTAATGATCCAATGTTATGTCATGATATTTTGCCCTATGATACAGAGGCTCATCAGTACCAGCTGCCGAACAGGACATGTAAACAATGGTCATTGAACCGTAGCTCCTGCAAGCATCCCTGTGGTGATCGGCTCCGAGGTAAAATGTTATTCCCCAAATTGTTTGTTACAAACTAGCAGAGTTGGTCAATGTAGTTGCAGTATTAACTCGTGAACATTAAGTTTGCCAAATCCTAATCTACTTATCCAGCAATTGTCACGTGTGTTGTAAACATGCTCCAACAAACTGATATCGTATCACGTCTCATAATAAGTACACTGTTGGGTTCCTCATCTGGAAAGTAGGAATTGATCAATGGGCTTACTTCTGGGTGATTGGTAAAAGGTAAGAGTCTGTCTGTGACAGTGATGATGGATAAAAAAAGTAAGCCTGCTGCTGACTAGTCCTAGAGTACCTGGTAACTTGGGTGGTGTATAAAATGTAACATTTTGTTTGTGACAATCATCTCTAGGATACCTGGGTGGTGTATAAAAGGTAACAGTGAATGAATAAGATTGGTGTTCTTAAATGAATGATTTTGATATTAGTAACTGGGTAAAGATGAAACACCACACCTTAACTGGTCCAATACAAATATATTACACTCTCTCTCTGTACTGTAGTGTTGATATTAGATGTAAACAGTTATATGTTCTGTTAAAACCTGTTGTTGTCAAATGTTCACGGTGTATCTTTACTACCACAGATTCTTCATTAATTTTTTTTTTTAACATTTGATAGCTTACTATTTTTATTTAGTATTTCAACCATTTTAATGTATATTATCTGGTTATTAAACTTGTGGGTTACAATATTGGAAAGAAAAACCACTTGTTGTGCACGTGTAGTTATGTGCATTATGCTGATTTAACCTGCGTGTTCAGTTAGCCTAACAAAGTTGTCTACTGTAGTTCAGAAGATTGAAACTACTAAAACCATGATGTTAAAATACATACTCAACTCTAGGGATATGTATTACTTACAATCTTGAAAAAAACTATTAAAAGTTGGTCGCACAAATTATTTCCAGAGAAGAGACAAATGTGTGTTTTGTATCCAACAAGGAAATGTCTGTTTTTTAACGATGGTGATTTAATGAAATTTGTCAAAAGAAACGGTGGCTGTCATTGATATTTATTGTTCTTATCTACTGGAAATAAAAAAAAATTAATATAGTCACCAACAACAACTTAGAAATATCTTCTCTAATTAACACCCAGTCTGAGTTGTTGAGACCAACTGGTGAATTGGGTGGGCTAAAAGGATTTTGGTATTAATGTTAGAACCAAAAATCAAATACTCCAATAAAGGGCTTGATTTATTAACTTCAACAAACTAAACTTTACTGCCCAAAGAAGTTGTCTCCAAAGTGTTCTATCACAAAGATGCAGAGTTTGGAGTTGGCCAGACTCCTCCTCTTGCACAAAAAGTATAAATGTTCATGTTCAAACAAATATTGCACTTGCCATCTTACAGTAGCAAGTAAGCTTTGTTGGCCATCTCTATCAATGGATGTCACAAAAACTGTGGAGAAACTGGCTTTATAGAGAGCTCAAGAACCCAATCCTGTCTTGTACAGAATCGGTTTTATAGGATTCCAGATGGTGGTTTAGGTTTTACTCCTTTATAGCCTGGAAACTAGTGAGAATTCAACCATAAGAATGGGTAATTCAGATTCCAGATATTACAAGCAGTTAAAATCTCTAAATGAAAAAAAATGGTACTAGAAAGCTTTGTCTCCCTGACTCTCACACTGGGTGTTAAAACATAAAATTAAAAGTAAATACCATAAAAAAGTTTTCACTTTTGAAAGCTTAAGGCTGGGTGGTCCATGTACTGACGCAAGATGATAAAATAGTAGAGTTAATTATTAAGTTCTTACCGACATTTGTTTAGTAAAACATTCGAGTTATTTGTAATGGTCACTAATTGTATTCAACATAAATAAATTGTTATGGCGTGATAAGGCTTGAAATGTTTTTAAACATCAAATCACCAGCACAGTGCTACAAGTAGCCGAGTCAAATATTTGTAATGGTCACTAATTGTATTCAACATAAATAAATTGTTATGGCGTGACAAGGCTTGAAATGTTTTTAAACATCAAATCACCAGCACAGTGCTACAAGTAGCCGAGTCACTTCCGTAGTACGAGATATAGCTAAACTGACTTCTCCTTTAGACTACAGTTGAGTTTACTAATATAGTCTACTTCTGTAACACAAACAAACCTTTTTTGGACACAAGGTTCGAAGCTGACAAAACAGTAGGGCGAACATTTGTGATATAACACAACTTACACATCACCAAAGAAAACGATACGTTAACTTCTTTAATAACGAATGAACTAAGAGTATTGCACAGTTAATACATGAAGCAACTATCAGTAGTCAAACTAAGACATTCACAGCTTTGTAAAAATATTAATTTTAATTAAAATGGACAACAATTACCTAAGCATCATAAATACATTTGATAAAAAAAGCCTGACCAAACTCCACTAACAGTTAAAGATAAACTCTTCTTTCTTAAGCACAAAGCTATGTAAGAGGCTTTCTGTGCTGTGCCCACTACAGGTATCGAAACCTAAGTTTACGGGATAAGCCCTCGGACTTAAAACCGAGTCACCGGGTGGGCCTTTTTCCTTCTTATTTAATATTAAAATAAACAAATCAACTTTCTGCAATTCAGGAGAGATTCAGACGATAACTTTTATAAAAATAGAATTCAGTTTCATAGAGTATGGAAGAAAAGAAAAAGACTTTTGTACTTATAAAAAATATAAATAATTTGGGACCTAGAAAACACTAGATATCTTGTTCAGACAAGGGAAGTATCTTGTGTACACGTATTAAGTACACAGCAGATTACCTCCTTACTTCACCTTTGTGTAGATACAAATTAAAATCAATCTGCCCTCAACATTTAAAACCCTTAATTTTATCTTAATAAAAATCAGCCATTTGAAGAATCATGTCAGCTTCCACGAGAAACGTTTATTTTCCTACGTCGTTAGTAACCAGCCTTTCTTCTTTGACTTTAATGTTTTATCTTTTTTTTCTTCTATTTCATCGTTGTTCTTCTCTTCAACCTTGTGCTTTTTTTCTTTGCTTTTCACCTTTTTTTGTTTAATTTTCTTCTTTTTCTTTGTTTTTTCTTTTTCACTAATATCAGCTGCAATAATAAAAATAAAATAAATGTAGACAGACCACAAATACATCGACTTTTTCTTCCATAAACACGAGTGTTCTTGATGTACATTTCTTAATCTTTGTGGTTCAACTCTGAATGAAACCAGGTATTAAAATATTTTAGTATCTAAGTACTTTACCATCCTTATCATTGCCGTAAATATTTAGATAATACTTTCATTCTGTGTGTTTGTACGTAGACATTTCAGTCAGTGATTGATCCAAAGATTTTCTAATGATGACTAGGTATTTTATTCCTCAAGGTTTTCAGCACACTGATGTTTTTATCGTGTACAAAATCAACATGTTGTATTACTAAAACAGTTAATAAACACATGCATGTAATATTAGTTCTGTGTGTCTAACTTGTTGGATTACTAAAACAGTTAATAACTACATACATGTAATATTAGTTCTGTGGGTCTAACATGTTGTATTACTAAAACAGTTAATAAACACATACATGTAATATTAGTTCTGTGGGTCTAACTAAATTAACACTTGCTATTGATCACACAACAAAAATACCAACTAAATTAAGCTTAACTTTGCTTTTTTCAAGTAAATTATAATCAACAGTTTAGTGATTATTGCACTTGTCAATCTTGTTTTAGGCTAATTTGTATTTCCACTTTCATCAGTATATTTATTAAAATGATTATAAATATGTAAGATAAATACTGTGTCTCTGAAACATGTCATTATAATTGTTTATTAAAGGTTGATAAATTAAAACATTATTTAAGAGAAAAATATAATCAGAATTACCTACGAAACAAAAATGTAAATGTTAATTCTAGGTTTACATTACAACTAACTGTCATATTAAAATAAAAAACTTTATCTTAAATCTGTTCTCATGTGATAAAATACCACATTTCATTAACTATGTTCGTTACCAGGTTCATATTTCAGTACCTGACAGAAAGTCAATAATAATCATAGTCCAAATGACCCTGGTAAGAATAAAATCATTCGGATACCTCTTTATTCTTGCTGCAAGACGTTTTTTTTTACCTTACAAGAACAATCTGTGTCTGTAAGACTTAACATTCTTGACAATTAGAGGACAACTTCTTAAAAACAAACAAAATACTTGATTTTACTAATTAATGAAGAATCATTCTTATCATATGTTTCAGGAAGACTTACAAGTAAGCTAGGCTTACATCGGAACAAGCCGTATATTATTAGTTCAAGAGCTGCTGATTCGATTTTCATTTATTAATACAAATGTCAGATTTCACAGCAACATCACATGCTGTATGTACATGTTGAGAGCTTCTATATTATGGTAAGGAAGAGCAAAGTTGTGGTATTCAACCTTGAAATCACATACATTAAAATGTACAAACTGTATGGTGGTGAACAAACTAACTAATGAACTTGTTAACATGTTGATAATGTTCTTCTAAAACTTAATGGCCTTCCGTGTTTCGTAGAAAAAGGTAACAAAACTGTTGCTAAATTTTAAAATCCTGATTAGTTATAAACTCTAACTCTATGTGTGGAGTTTGGATGAACTTTCAGAATGATCATTTAGAAAGCATAAAATTATTTATAATTACACAGTTGATCCTATACTGTTATCGTACATGTGGTAAACTGTGAAGACACAGTAGATCCTATACTGTTATTGTACATGTGGTAAACTGTGAAGACACAGTAGGTCCTATACTGTTGTCGTACATGTGGTAAACTGTGAAGACATAGTAGATCCTATACTGTTATTGTACATGTGGTAAACTGTGAAGACATAGTAGATCCTATACTGTTGTCGTACATGTGGTAAACTGTGAAGACACAGTAGATCCTATACTGTTGTCGTACATGTGGTAAACTGTGAAGACACAGTA